TACATATTAATATGGAAATGTTTCAAAACATCCAACGTTTATTTAACATTGCTTTTCAACAGTTATACATTCTTTATTTTGGGCTTTCAAACATCAAGAAAAAACAGAATTGAAAAAATAATAATAATAATAATACAGAGAAAATACCAGTCATAATCCTCACTATGTTCAAATTCAAATTCCACTTCCATATATTCATTCTGTTAAATATTTTCAAACAACACCACACTCGCCAGACAATAACAAATCTTTCAGACCATCTAAAAAAAAAAAAAAAAAAAAAAAAATGCAATTAACAAAATATATTTGTTCTCGCTTCACAAACGGAAAGAATAAATGCAGTCTAATTTGTAACGGATTACAATAACAACACTGTAACATCGAGACACTTGACCACGCTTTGGAAATTAGAGTACAAAACAAGTCATTCGAAACAGGGATCCATGACACCAGCAGCGAGGAAAATGCCACACACGGAGCTAGCAGTACGACAGCTGATCCACTTGTCCTCTTCCTACTTTGAGTAGTACTGCTTCCCCTGAATAGTATTTGTTACACTACTATCTTACATATAACGTGAACTACATAGTTTATGTCAAAAAATGTGTAAAATGAAAAAATATGGATGAATAATAATAAAAATAACAGCCAATAATAATAATGAATCATGACAATTAAAGATCTTTTTCTTTTAAATTAGAAGAGAAACAAACGTTAATGGTCCAGAAGAAAAAGTGGAGAAATGAATGATTGAAAAAACACATAAAAAGCACCAAAATTTCTATAACACAAGAAAGTGCTGCGCCAACTAATATTTATCTATTTTAGGGATTTTAGTTCTATATTAAAGATTAAAGTGGAGTTGGGTGGGATGTCTGGTGGTGCTCCTCGCTCACCATACCTGAGATGGAAAACAGAATATGAGGAATCTGGGATGCCCAGGGTAAATTACCAAACACAATATAAATAATACAACAATCATTAAAGTGATCACATAATTTAAATATGATTTACATCAGCAAGATATATATCAATACACATACCTACATATGTAACAGGTATAAAAAAACTCATGATTATCAGGAAAATTAAAAACAAATACAAATTATCTCCAAAATGAAAAAGGTTAAAAAAAACTACTTACGCCATTTTAGGTGGGCAGACGATCTTTCTCTTTCCTCCAGGCTGCATACCTACAATGGCCATATCCCAACCCTTGATTACTTCTCCTCTCCCCAGCCGGAAACCGAAGCCCTTGCCCCCTTGACACTTGTCGAACATTTTGCCATTGGGGAATCTGCCCTCGTAGTACATGAATACCTGCAGGGGAAGCAGTTTCATTAGGGGTGCGACCAGCGAGTCAACACTATATCATATATACTTATATATATACATTATATTATAGATCATATATAAATATAAAGGGACCACAGAACACAGGCAAAGCATACCATGTTTCCTGGTTTAGCCTTTGGTCCTTGCCCGACTTTAAGCTCCTCAATTTTCATCCCCCCAATCTTCATCGTCTTTGGGGTCTGAGATCCAGAAGGAGTTTCGATCTTGGCTGTGTTGGAAGAAGCTTGTTTTAATAAGCAAGTCAATACCTTGAGTAAAAAATAAATCAGCTCTCCCTACATTTAGAATCAACAATTTCATGGCTTCCATTTGAAAGTAAACTTCATGATTTACCTGGTGTGTTTTCAGACTTCTTCTGCTTTGGTGTCTGGAACAGAAACAAGGCGAGATTAAAACAAAACAAAACAAAAAAAAAAAGACTCAGAATGAAGAATATCATACAAACACACAGATATCAAGACAGACAGACAGACATACAGACAGACAAACAGACAGAGACAGAGACAGACAGGGTTCACTTGTAATCTCATGAACTCACCCCATTCATGGTAACTGCCTCCTTCTTGGGGGTTTTGTTCTCCGCTTTCTTTACCTCGGGAGTCTTTGCACCTTGTTTCGCTTTCTCTTTCGCCTTTGGGGTTTTCTGTTCGGTGCTTTCGCCTTTGGCTTTGGGCGTTTGCACTTTATTGCCGGGAGTTTCGGCCTTTCCTTTAGGCGTCTTATCCCCTTGACTTTCATTTTTCATTTTGTTTGGCTTCGCACTTAAAGCAGCTGAAATTTTTAAGGAACAAATCTAGTTTATATTTCAGGTCTGGAGTACTGCTGGCATTTCCTGTTACATTTTATCATTCTTTACAGTTTACAATGTCTTTAGCTTAATCTAATGATACTGGGATGGCATGTACATACATCCCAGTCATTTTAGTTTATGAAGTTTGTTTACATGTAGATGGCTCCACAAGTGCTTCGTCAATAAGAATCTAATTGCTAGTCCTACCTATTACACCTGTATACCCTTTTCCCTGGTTTTATCATAATAATCATAATCTCAATTATAACATCTATATCAATATCAACAGTATTAGAAAAAAATAATAATCCCAAAAACTCAAGGAATGGGGAAACAAGTGACGTCACATCGGGCCGAAAATTAACTCTTTGGCGGCCAAACACTTGTGGAATCATTTGTGTGCAAACAAAATTCACAAAACAAATTTAGAGGACAGTATACGTTTTTGGCACCAGTTGGTTAACTACTACCTTTCATTTGTTCCATCATCTCTTTTTCTTCCTCATCTGGTTCATCATCGTCATCCTCATCGTCATCCTCATCATCTTCATCTTCCTCTTCCTCTCCCTCTTCATCACTCTCTTCATCATCCTCATCATCATCATCGTCATCGTCATCATCCCCATCCTCTTCGCCATCTACAAACTCATCTACACCTATAAATATTCACAAGAAGTTATCAAACTGAACTTTAAGGTGTATGAAAGATCACACAATGAAGCCATTCATAGAAAAGAGGTGCCTCTATTATCACTACTCACCAAGCAACACTTTTGCTTTCTTTGCATCTGCCCCTTTGATTTCCAGTTGCTTTCTCTTCTTGTTTATCGGCACAAGTGCTGGGGTTTCTGAAATGTAGTTCTTTTTTTATGCTATTTTCTTATCCCTCTACCTCTATTTCTTGGTTGCTATTGGCTTTATACATTTTCCTCTCATTTTCCACAAATACATCTGAGTTTCCCATGTGACTGCAAAGCCTTACCTTCATCACTATTTTCCTCCTCTTCCTCTACCTCTTCCTCCTCATCCAGCTCATCTTCCAAGTCAGGAATGACATAGCCTGAGAGGTGGACAACACCCTTGCCTCCCAGAGTGTAGAAGGCAATGCGACTGCCTTCCATGAACTGCAAGTCCAGTGGGCATTGCAAGATGCCCAATTTTTTGCTCAGATTGCAGATGAGTGTTTCATAGCCTTCCACTTCTACCATGACCTGCATGGGAGAGGATGTTATGTTTATTTTCATGCGAGATTGATATGGTTTAATATTATTAATCAAAGTTTTCAGTGGTTTACTTTTTCTATATTTTTTCTTGCTTCTTTCTATTCTTTTAAATGATATTTAGAAAAACACAAAGCTTTGGCAACATGTAATTCAGCAGAAGTGGAGAAGATAAAAGCAACAATGATGGTGCTGCATATGCATCACAACTGATGACTAATGATGAGCATGATCAAAATATTTCAATAAGAAAATTATAACAAATGTGCTGCTACTGGAAGGAATAGATAAATAGAAACAAGAAAGTAATCATAAAATGGAACTGCCCCAAACCACTCACCCTAATGATTTCATCATCTGTAACAGAGGTGGTGTCAAGCACCGCAGCTGATATGTGGAAGGCATCATCTACTACCTTTGCGTAGCGCTTGGCTGGATCAAGTGACAAACCTGTCAAGAAAAAGGATGGTTATTCCATAGAAAGGAAACTGCAAGATACAGATATACAATGCATAGCTTTATGTATTACAAGTAAGGCCATGCAGAGAGAGAGAGAAAAACTATGGTAACAAAATTTTGGAAAAAAGTGGTACGAGCCTTTAAAAAAAAAAAGGTTGAACAATCATTACCATCAGAAAATGAACTAACAGTTACAAAGGGAAAAATAATTACACAGCTTAAAATAATCCAAAGGTAAATAAACTTTAATGTATTGGCAACCCTCCCCCCTGTTCACCATACATGTCCAAAATGCACTGACAGTACCCCATCTTTACCCATGTGCATACTGCTAGCCTTAAATGAGTTCCATCTTGAAGGGGAGCAAAAGAAGGCCATACTTAAAAAAATAACAATTCCAAACAGAGCATGTCTTGCATCATGCAGTAATAAACACACAGGGATAGGAAACCTTTTGGCATTTTGTGGGTTTTGTTCTATCCACCTAGAATATACATGGACATTTGTTAGCCTCTTCACCATAGTACTGACTAATTATTGTGTACATTGTCTGCCATGAGCCTGAAGTCATCTGAAAAAATGAATTTTTCAATATTTTCCAAAGTAATCCAATATGAAAGACAACTGCCCATTCAAATTATATAAAACAAGAGATGGTGGTGGATCACTTGGCAGAAATTTAAGTTGCACTTTTTTTTTTTCTTTTTTTTTTTGATGGCGATTGCCTTCGAATATTCACCCTTTACTGTTTTTCTTCTCCTCCAGACATGGTTATAGTATAAGAACTATACCACTTAAACCATACCACCACAAAGAAAAGGGGGGAAAAATGATGGAGCATAGGATACATTTATGGTTACGCCATTGTAAGCAAAGCAAGGCCCCTACCAACTAGTGGTCACAGTCTCGTGCCCAATGTTATGTTGCCACAATTCTCTCCAGCGCACACACAATTTACAGCCTGAGATGGTTACCCCAAGCAGTGTATAAAATGTCTGGCACTACAGTAAATGCTGACAAACCACCAGGCATATTGCGGCATGAATATAAGTGCCAGAGGCTTGCTGGCCTTTGCCAGAGAGCCAAAGTGTAGAGGCTATGGTGATCACTGGATTAGGCACCAAGGGTATGTTACTGAAGGTTCAAGAATTACCCAAATATTACATACTGGTAAA